CTACAACTGGAAATTAAATAACAAAAACCTGAGTACAGATAAGGCATATCTGAGGGAGAGCTTCCCAAGCAGAAGGTACAACAAATACAAATGTCCTGAGGCCAGAGCATGCCAGGCATGTTTGAGGGACAGTAGTGTCCCATGTGGAGTAGATGGCTGGGGTGAGGTGAGCAAAGGGGAAAGTGGTTGGAGATGAGGACAGAGAGCAAAGGGGGAAAGAAGCAGATCATACAAGACCTTCTAGGCCATTGTAAAGAACCTGGCCTTAAAAAGAGGTATGAGAAGACTTTGCGGGGGGGGGCGGGTTGAGAAGAGCAATGACATAACCTTATTTTGTATTTTATTTCTCTATACACATACTCACACTGCATCTATATTCATACACATCGATTTTAAATACCCTCTATATGCTGGTGGCTTCCACTTCTATTTATCCAGCCATGGCCTTTCCCCAAACCCCAGACTTACATAGCCAACCTACTTCCGTGATATCTCTACAGATATAACTAATAGGCGTCTCAAGTTTAATATCACCCAAGAACTCACTTGTTTTTCCTCATCTCTGTACTTCATTCATCAGTTACCCAAGCCAAAGATCTACAAGTTATCATTGAGTCTCCTCTTTCCCACACTGCTTGTATCCAATCTCTAGCTCTCTTGACTATACCTACCAGAAGTCCCAAATATGTCCACTTCCTCTCCACAATAGCTGCTCAGACAAATACAAAAGCATTATTAGGGTCTTCTAAATTTTTAAATTTTTTTTAAATATACATAACAGAAAATTTGCCATCTTAGCCATTTTTAAGTGTACACAGTTCAATGGCATTAAGTACATTTACACTGCTGTGCAACCATCACCACCACCCTTCTCCAGAACTCTTTTCATCTTGCAAAACTGAAACTCTGTACCCGTTAAACAAGAATCCCCTAATTCCCCCGCCCCCAAGCCCTGGCAACCACCATTCTGCTTTCTGTCTCTGTGAATTTGACTACCCTTGGTACCTCATGTGAATAAAATCATACAATTATTGTCCTTTTGTGACTGGCGTATTTCACTTAGCATAACATCCTCAAGGCTCACCCATGTTGTAGCATGTGTCAGAATTTCCTTCCCTTTTAAAGCCGAAAAATATTCCATTGTTTGTATTTACTAAAGTTTGTTTATCCATTCATCTGTTGATGGATAGAACTTGGGTTGCTTCTACATTTTGGCTGTTGTAAATAATGCTGCTGTGAACACAGGTGTATAAATATCTGTTGGAGTCCCTGCTTTCAAGTCTTTTGGGAATATACCCAGAAGTGGAAGTGCTGAGTCATGTGAGAATTTGATATTTATTTTTTTCTTTTGCTGAGGAAGATTAGCCCTGAGCTGGCATCTGTTACCAGCCTTCCTCTTTATTTGTTTGAGGAAGACTAGCCCTGAGCCAACATCCATGCCAAACTTCTTCCATTTTATATGTGGGTCATTGCCACAGCCTGGCTGATGAGTGATGAGGTCTGTGCCAGGGATCCAAACCTGTGAGCCCAGGCCGCCAAAGCAGAGCATGCCACACTTAACCACTAGACCACTGGGCCAGTCTCTCAATTGTTAATTTTTTGATGAACCGCCATAATGTTTTCCATAGCAGCTGCACAATTTTACATTCCCATTGGCTGACCCCTTTTTATCCTCATTTTCCTTCTTACCCTCTATGTTCCAGGCACAATGACCCGCTTTGATTTGTTTTGTTTTTTTTTTTAAATATCAACCTCACTCTTTCTATAGGACCCTTGTAGTAGTTGTTACTTCTTGCCTGTAAAGCTCTGCATCCTGATGTTTACTTGACTGGCTTTTTTTGATCTTTCACCTTAGATCCTACCAGGGGTATCTTTCTTGATGAGTCAGTTACTATCCCATTAGCATAGCACTTACCAAGATCTCATGAATTTCTTGTTTGTTTATTTTCTTGGTCTTCCCTCCCCCAAACTATATCCCCAGTACCTAGTACTATCACTGGCACATAGGAGATGCACAGAAATTGTTGAAATGTCACAGGGATTATTCTGATGAATTTCCTAGTGTGCTATATGTGAACATTATTCATTAGTAGAAATCTGTAATCATCACTCAAAGAATAATAAACATTCTTTAGAAACAAACTAAACCAAGACAGAATCCACAATTCCATAGTATAATCAAGAAAGGCAATTGGCCCAGGTATCTTGGTAATTCAGACTCCAGTAGAAATTTTGGGCCTCATTAATTTGGATATTTCAGGCAAAATATGTTCTTTGGTTTCAAATTATTTCAACAATTACCTTAATAATTCTGTCTGCTTTATATATGTAATCGTTGTCCTAGAGGTACTTGTATAATCTTTTGTGTACCTCTGAGCAGTGAATTTCAGTCTCAGTCTCCAAACAAAGAGTACTCAAGTCACATAGCTTCCAAAGCAAGTTTTCTCAATTGATGTTTTGTAGTTCATTCCAATAGTGACCACTTTCATAATCCATAAGCTCATCTGTATTAGAGAAAACTCACTCATGTAGCAGTAAAGGAAAATTGTAATTGCTGTATGTATATTAAAAAGTGAGTGGGTGGATACAAATGGGCTCTTCTGGATTATGGACAATCCCCTAGAACAATTATGTTTACGATGAAGCCATATATTATGACTGGCTTAGGTGTAATACTGCCTTGATAGACACTCTTCATTCCAGTCCTATGATCTTAATTGAGTGGTAAAAACCCATTAAATATTTAGATGAGGTGGCAACATATACAATACATAACAATATTAACACCCTTAGTTTTTATAGTGTTAAGATTGTTTTGCGGTTTGGGTCTAGGATTGAAACTACCCTTATGAAGTGAAAAGTAAAAGCGAGTCTTACATGCTAACAGCTCCTCCTTTTCAAGAGCCAGTTCGTGCCCTCATTTCTGGGTACCCTCAAAGTCCAATAATTCTAAGTTACTGTCTGTCTAAGTGAGTGGGTACTAACTTAACTCACTTTCAGTGGTGCTACTCTATGGTTTGCAGAAAGATGGAGAAAGTTATTGTTCTGAAAACGTTTTAAATAGTTTTTTCCCTTTATTCTAAAAGATGTTGAAATTGTTACTAAAATCACTAGGCTTTCATTTTGTTTTTAAAGAGTCACAAATGCGGAAAATCTGAATAGTATTTGGTTTATTTTCTAAATATAAGAGTAGGCAGTTATCTTGTTGTTTCAATAGTTATAGCAAAAGCTTCAAATGTGTTAAACAGAACTCACTGTAAAGCCCATTCCATTTCAAGGACACTGGAGAGCTTCCGTGGCAATAGGGTTGAAAAGTATTAATCCATCCTTTTCATCTCTTGTATTGCTTTTAGTTAGGGTTTACGGTGGGAAATCTTTCACAAACATTGTGTTTCTGCTGTTAAGGTTTATATCCGTATTTTGAGATAAATTTTATGAAGAATTTGCATATTATAGCACAGGCTCTTCAGGGCAGACAAATAATAGTTTGTCTCTTTTTGGTCACAAATGGGCATTTTCAGAAAAAAAAGCATCCTTAGAAAATGCTGTTGATGTAGCATCTTTAGAATGTAGCATCTTTTGAAAAGTTGTTAGTATAGTACCTACTTTAAAAAAAGACATGCTTCCATTTAACACTGAAGCTAAAAGTGTGCTGTTGACGATGGATAAAATTGGCAGTGGCAATTGCATCACCTTTTCTATTACATCAAAGAGAAAAAATATATTGTGATATTACCTTTAATCATCAAATTCTCTTGCCTAATTTGATGTACATTACCTTTAGAGATTTTCAGTTGGGAAAGAAAAAATAAACACAAGTAGCTTGAATAAAGTTCAAATCACTAATATTTTTGATTACTTATTAATTACCAGAAACTGTGCTAAGCTCTTAATGGACTATTAAAGTTTAGATGGGCACATTCTTTCTTAAATTTCTTCCCAGAATACTTACCTGATTTTCAAAAAGAATAGGCCACATGTACCTGTATTAAACCTATCAAAATATTTAACAGACTTTATTGTAACTGCATTTTTACTTGTCTGTTTTTCCTGTTAAACTATAAACTCCAAGAGCACAGGTTTCATGTCTGCCATATTCCCTCTCTTCTCCAGCCTGAGCATCATGGGTACCTAGCCCGTACCCTAAACATAGCAGATACTCTATAAACATTTATTAATTGAATGATGATAAATTTCAAGAAAACACATTATTTCTTTAAGGATGGGATCATAGGAAAGAATGTTGATATAAAAATCAGAATGTCAAATTATATATTTCAACACACAAAAAAGAAAATTTATGTCAGGAGTCAATCAGTATTTGGAATGCCAATTTAATTAGAAAGTAAACGCAGAGAAGATGAATAAGTTCACAAGGACTCACAGCTGGTAAAGGACAAATCTGCACACTCCAATGTCTGTGTGGCTTTAATCCAGGCCACTGTCTCCTTTCTTTAATAATAAATGCACTTTTCACAGACGCAATAAACCATGGGCCAGGTAGCGTTCTAATCATGCTGAGTAAATGATGGCCCTAAACTGTTTCTCCTGACAATTTCTTAAGAAAGGACTGCTACACTTATTTTCGTTTTTAGTTAAATCAGAGTAAATAATCCTTAGGCAAGACGGTTTTTGACATTTCATTTCCCTTTCTATTATTTTTACATCTACCTTGATTTTACCCCTTATTAATGATACCTAAGAAGAAACAAATGGAAAGAAAATAAGCCCAAAGAAAAAGCTATTAGAATAAAGATGCATGATGTTGCACTGCTTATGGGAGGAATTCAGCTCCCTGTTGTGCTTAAGAAATTCTGTGAGAGTCAAATCAAACATGGAAAATGAAGCACACGCTGAAACAAGGAGGAACTTGAGCAATAAGTAATGCACCATTTGAGGATCTATGGAATATGATATTAAGTCTTGTTTAAAGGGGAAGTTTTACCATGCCGCATGTTCTATTGTCAGACACGCTCATGATGCCTCTTTTTGAATTCTAGAGTCTCAAGTCCCTGACCAGCCGAGCTCTCTCCACGTGAGGCCTCAGACCAACTGCATCATCATGAGTTGGACTCCTCCCTTGAACCCAAACATTGTGGTGCGAGGCTACATTATTGGTTACGGCGTTGGGAGCCCTTATGCCGAGACAGTGCGCGTGGATAGTAAACAGCGATATTATTCCATTGAGAGGTTAGGTGAGTGGCTGTGGTTTTTATTTTATTAAGGGAAATAAATGATTTGCTTTAAAATATTTTATTTCTTGGAAAATTGTTCTTTGAGATTTGATTGCAATTTGTAGCATATATTAATTAATTCTTAAAACAACTTTCTTTTTCTATCCGTCTCTTATCAATCTCCACACACCCACACACACATACACACACACACAGAGATATATTTTTCCTCTCTAGATTTTGAATTGGGGAATTTTATCTAGAGAGACTCACAGTGGTGGGTGCCCTGCTCTGTACCCTTGCTTTGGATCATTTTTCTTTTTCCGCTGGTCAATAGAAACTTCTAATCTTAATAATTTTTATAAAGAGAGTCAACCACATTTTTCGCCTTTTTTCTCACTAGGAAGATATTCTGTCAATTTTTCTTTAACCTGGAATTATCTAGTCACATTACCATCTTTTCCCTTAGCATTTATAGGTAAAACTTTGTGGCTGTGTTATTTTGACTGTAAAACAACAAGATGAAAAAAGGAATTTTCAATCAAGCCAGTAACCCAGAGTCATCAAACTCCTCTCTACATACACTCCTGACCTCTTCCCAGTCTGAATTGTCCTCTTGTACTCAACCTCACTTTACTGAATATGATACTTGAATTGTGACATTTCTGAATTCATGGAAAGTTTGTTTATCCAGAGAGGGCTAACGTGCATAAAAGTGTTCCTATTCATTTCATATCTGATTTTTTATAGCACAATCAGAGATTATATCTTTAACAGAGGGAAATAAAAGAAATGTATATCATTTATAGGATGCCAAGAAGTTAAACAATTCTCATAGAGCAAAAAGCAAGCTGACTCTACCTGTTGCTTTAACACCGTGTTACTTGCAATGAAGTACTCTGACCCCGTCAATGGAAACAGGTGCTACTTACTTGCAACTAAATCACAAACAGAACATTTGTGATGAGAAGCCTGATTTGAATTTGAATAGCTTTTCCTGCATTAGCAAGGAGAGATTTTCTCAGTGCAGGAGGAAAATCCACACTGACCCATTCTCTCTATAATTGCTTCAAATGCTAATAAGAGAAGCACCTCCTGAAAATCTCCACAATTTTGGTTAGCTTGGCATTTAGAAATAGTATTCTCTCAGTCAATCCCTTAGTTTAAATGTTAAAGCAATCACAACACTTAGATTTTATGGCCATCAAAACTATGTCCGGGGACTCTCATTTATCTATTATTCAGTGTACATCATCTCAGAGAGTTCATCTTGATGCCACGTGCCCACAGAGAGAGATTCCCATGGCAGTGCACAGATTTTCGGGCAATGAGAATGTGGTACAAACTCAGAATGAAGTCACGAAGGAAGACTGCATTGTTTCACCATATCCTTTTGATAATGATACTCTTTATTACAAAGGAACTCTAGAAGTCTCCAAGTCCAGTAAAGTTGACGTCTTCAGGAGGTTAAAACTGGCAAATCTCTCCAAATACTTAACAAAAAAAATAAGAAATTTCCCTTTGCAAGATATGTTTTAGAGAGCTAGGAATACTGTTAAGGTAAAATGGGATACGAACCTGTCTCTATGATAGATAATCGTGAGTTTACACTGAAACTTTTATGGGAGAGAAATTACACGCATACACATACACATACATATGTATATGTATCTATGTATTTAATTTCTACCAGCTGATACTCTTTTATAACATAATCCCCTGTCTTAACAAAAAATATGAAATTAAATAGTGTTTTGTCATTATTGTTCAAGTGTCTTCATGGCTATGTAGATAAACTGGTTTCGCTGTTTAGCCAAAGTGTATATTAGACAACTTTGTGTTTCTAAAGCTTTAAAATTATATTTTAAATATACTTTCAAAAAGATTCCATGAAAACTGACATGCCTACTCTAGCGTTCAATAGAATAAATAAAACAAATGCCTGTTTCTTTGCAAAGTTGGAATGTGGAGTTGAATGAAACATATATCCTTTTAAAAATTAGAACTTAAGATACGTTTAACATACACTTTGGTTACATAGTGGAATTATATGTTTTGAGGACTGTATGATGGTTATACAATTAAAAATCATTTAAGGAAAATTACAATCCATTAAAACATAGGGTTAGCATAAATTCAAGTATCATGGCTGTATTTTAGACTATAAAAAAGCTATTTGCTTTATAATTGACCAATAAACCTCCTCTTCTCTTTGATGAGAGACTGGAACTTCCAAATAGCATTTTGTTTATCAGGCATAATAATTCATATTGTAGGCAAGGAAGACTTTTTCTCTACCTAATGTGGATTCGTCTGGCCGGAGAAGGAATTAAATTCATATGAGACAGAATAGCAAGGGAAAATTAAACAAAGCTTTATGAGAACCATGGCCCGGGGCCGTTCTTCCCAAAGGAAGAAAGGGCACCGAAGAAGTGGGTGCACAGAGTGGTTATATGCCCCCAAACAGGGTGTTTCACATGTGATTGAAATGTCCCTCCCACAATAGTCACAAGATTGCCCTGTTGGCACAGCGCTTGATGGACACAGCAGGTAGGGGTCTGCTACCTCAGAGGGCGTAGCAGGAGGCAAGTCTATTGTCTCAAGCTGGGTGGTCACAGGTGAGTGCAGCAATCAGTTCCTATCCTAAGGAAAGATGCTTAATCCTTAAAGAAATGCCAACGTTGGGAGGGGGAGGGAAGTCAGTTACAGGAGATTACCAGACAAGCACAATAAAATGCAGATTTAAGTCCTTGCCTTTGGCGTTGATTAAGAGTTTTTAGAGAGAAGGTCATCTCCTTTCTTCTTCCTGGTACAGAGAGGGAGGCACCTTTACAGATAGAGATTTCCTTTACAATGTAAATGTCTCCTAACAAAGGGCAAATTCCATTCCTCAGAGCCTCCCTCCCTTTCCCAGTTTATCAAAAGCAATCAGCCTCAAATAATCCTCATGCCAAAGAGACATATCTTGGGGTGGCCAATTCCAGTCCCCACACTATTTAGACACCAGGCACTGTGACCTGCTTCAGGAGGAGAAATACTGGACCATTTTAAACAGTATCTAATACTGCCTCGTTTAAAACAAAACAAAACAAACCCTACCTAGTGTAGGCACAGAGCTTCATTAACCAATGTTTGTACCACTGGATATTTATAATTAATCTTCTGACATTTTACTCAAAAGCCCTAAATGCCAGGTTTGATGTATACACATGGTATAGATCCACAAGATCTGAATTCTAGCAATGTTTAGCAAAATTAATTTAAAACCAAGTCTTTCTTTTAAAAACTCACTATTTATCTATCTACCAATCTATTGGTCAATCTTTCAATCAATTAATTTATCTACCTTTACATCTTTATGGAGGTATTTTCAAATATAATAAGTTGTACATATTTAAAGTGTACAATTTGTTGAGTTTTTAAAAGAGTTTTATTGAGGTATAATTGACATGCAATAAACTGTATTTTTCAAATTAATTTTTTCAGCAATATTTTATAGTATTTAATGTAGAGGTCTTAAATGTTTTTGTTAGCTTTAGTTCTAAAATATATACATTTTTTGACTTATTTTAAATGGAATTGGTCTTTAAATTTATTTTCTAGCTGTTTGCTGCTTGTATAGAAGAAAACAACTGTTTTTTGAACATTAACTTTGTATCCTAAGACCTATTAAATTCACCTATTTGTTCTACTAGTAGTTTTGAGATGCTCCGAGATTTTCCATTTAACAAGCATATCCTACGTAAATAGGAACAGTTTTACACTTAATTTCTGATCTCCTGCCTTTCTTTTATTTCTCTTGCCTTCTTGGAATGGTTAAGATCGCCAATAAAATTTTGCATAGGAGTGGTAGAAGCAGGCATCTTTGCCTTATTCCTGATCGTAGGGAAGGCATGAAATAGGATGTTAGCTGTAGGTTCTTTGTAGATGTCTGTTATAAGATTGAGAAAGTTTTCTACTCTTTCTAGCTTTCTTGAAATTTTTATCACGAATAATCATTAAATTTTTGTGAAATAATTTTCTATCTCTTGAAATGATCATGCGGTTTTCCTCCTTTTCTTTTTAATATGATGAATTACATTGATTGATTTTTGAAGGGGAACTAATCTTGAATTTCTCATACAAATCTTCTGTGGTCATGATGTATTACCCTTTTCTTATATTGTCGGATTTGACTTGTTAATATGTATTAATGGTTTTTCTTTTCATGCCTATATCCATGAGGTATATTTGTCTACAATTTTCTTTTCATTTAGTGACTTTATTCAGTTTTTTTCTTTATTAAACTTATACTAGCCTCATAAAATTAATTGGACAGCTTGTTCTTCTTCTGCTACTGAAAAAGTTTGTGTAATATTGATATTATTTATTCCTGGAATATTTGATAGAATTCACTGACAAAATCATCTGGATCTGAGATTTTCTTTTTTTTTTTTTTTGAGGAAGATTAGCCCTGAGCTAACTGCTCTCAATCTTCCTCTTTTTTCTGAGGAAGACTGGCCCTGAGCTAACATCCGTGCCCATCTTCATCTGCTATATACGTGGGATGCCTACCACAGCATGGCTTAGCAAGCGGTGCCAAGTCCACACCCGGGATTGGAACCGGCAAACCCTGGGCCATCTAAGCAGAATGTGCGCATTTAACGGCTGCACCACCAGGCTGGCCCTGAGATTTCCTTTTGAGGAAGTCTTTTATAATGAATTTAACTTCTTTAACACATTTAGGTCTTTTTATATTTTGTATCTTTTTCTTGTATTGATTTGGCAAGTTAAGTTTTTCATAAAATTTGTCTGCTTCATGTCACACTTGTTGGCATAGAATTATTCATTCATAATATTCTCTTATTCTCTATGGTAATAATTACTTTTTCCTTTCTGATATTGATGATTTATGTTCTTTCTTCTTTTGTGATCATCCTGGGTATGGGTTTACCAATTTTGTTGATTTTGTCAAAGAAATAGTCTTTGACGTTACTAATCGTCTCTATTATCTGTCTCTATTTTATTTCTTTCATATCTGC